GGGGGCGGCAGTAGGTCTGTAGGGGACTGGAGGGTCACTGGCTCAAGTCCCGGGGCAGACTAAGTCTGGTAGCTGGAGAGGTGCCAGTTCACTTCCTGAGGACTGCAGGGGTGCCTTTGAGCAAAACCACAGAACCCCACCAGCTCAGGAGGACTCTGTGTGTGCAGCCCACTCACAGTGTGTGTGTGTGTGTGTGTGTGTGTGTGTTAATATTGACTAACATTAGAACAGATAATTATTCAGTGTGTCTTTTTTTTCATGTTTTCTGTCTGTGTGTTTATTTAAAATATTTCTCTTTTTGGTTTTTTACACGGGTTAATAAACGAGTCATGCTGCACGCGCATGATAAATTAAGATTATTTTTTAAAGATTAAACCTGCAAAGAAAAATATGAATAATTTCTTCATTCGGGGACTCCAAAAGATGTTTTTAGTGTGTGTGTGTGTGTGTGTGTGTGAGAGAGAGGGTGTTTTTCATCATAGAGGTGTCTGAAGGATGAAGAGGTCAGAAACACTTTTAGTTTAAAGATCAACTTTATGAACCAATCAGACCGGCACGTTTCAGCTCGTGGTCTTCATCATGACCTCGTGGTCTTCATCATGACCTCGTGGCCTTTATCATGATGTATCTTCGTTTATAGTCTTTACTGAACTCATGCTCACGATGCGTTCAGGTGCAGAGCGAACATTACGGAGGGGTACGCAGGTTTAAAGGTCCGGGGGTCCGGGGGTCCGGGCTGCAGGATCTAAACCACAGTGACACTAATCCAGTCTGTAACCCTGATGAAGACCACGAGCCGAACCAGGAGGTCGAATCTGTCAAAGAGGGAAAAACAATAAAAACTTTTTCATCCACTTCTCTGCTCTGTCTTTTTTTCTTCTTCTGTTCTTTTCTCTTTTCAGTTGTTGTCTGTTTTCATCATCGAGTCATGTTGTCTTCTTCAGGAGCCTTTGAAAACGAGATGGTCCATCTCAAGAGGATTATCCTGCTCAAATAAAATACTAAATATAAGACCTGCTAAAATAAAATATTAAATATAAGACCTTCTAAAATAAAATATTAAATATAAGACCTTCTAAAATAAAATATTAAATATAAGACCTTCTAAAATAAAATATTAAATATAAGACCTTCTAAAATAAAATATTAAATATAAGACCTGCTAAAATAAAATATTAAATATAAGACCTTCTAAAATAAAATATTAAATATAAGACCTGCTAAAATAAAATATTAAATATAAGACCTTCTAAAATAAAATATTAAATATAAGACCTTCTAAAATAAAATATTAAATATAAGACCTGCTAAAATAAAATATTAAATATAAGACCTGCTAAAATAAAATATTAAATATAAGACCTGCTAAAATAAAATATTAAATATAAGACCTTCTAAAATAAAATATTAAATATAAGACCTTCTAAAATAAAATATTAAATATAAGACCTTCTAAAATAAAATATTAAATATAAGACCGGGATGTTTCCTCTCTGTTCGTGTCGGTGGATTTTAATTTAACAGTTAAACACACTCACGTGTTTTTTTGAAACTGTGCTGCAGCTCCAGAGCTCAGACTTTCAAAAACTGTAAATCTGAGAGGACTCCTTCTGTCAGACATCCAGAGAGAAAAAATAAAACAGGAGGCCGAGAATCACTGAAGACAGATTCACGTTCAGAGGATTCAGCGCGTGGACTCACTGATTCATAATAATAATAATAATAATAATAATAATAATAATAATAATAATAATCATAATCATAATCATAATAATAATCATAATAATAATCATAATCATGATTGTGCTGCATTTATAATTTATATATATTTTAATATTTCATTTGTATTATTACTCTTTGTATCATAGTCAAGAGGCCAAAGAGCTGCAGAAACACTTTTAGTTTAAAGATCAACTTTATGAAGTATTCAGACACGCGGGGATCTGATTGGTTCATAAAGTTGATCTTTAAACTAAAAGTGTTTCTGACCTCTTCACTCTTCAGGCACCATGATGGAGAAGTTGTGTCTTAAACCCCTAAATTATATCCTTTTTATTTTTTAACTCGTTAAATTCAGTTACATTTAAAAAGGAGACATCCGGGTATCTTACTGCTCGGCTCCGTCCCTCAGTGCGCCACAAACAGACACAAACACATTTTCATTTATAAATATGAATATAAATATCTAGCTGTGTCTGTAGTAAACAGAATCTGTTAAACACGAGCCGGTCTCTTTAGTTAAATGTCCAATAAATATTAAATGTTATTAATTAAATAATGAGACTCAGTCAAATGAATTAAGATAAATAAAAATAAATCCAAAGTGATGACTGAAGAGCTGGAGGTCTGTAATGACGTGAGGCTCCAAATGTAAACTCAGCAGAAATGACAGAGAGAAGAAGAAACGAAGAAGAGGAATTAAAAACGAAGAAGAGTCTTTTGTTGCTCTATTTTATTTTAAAATATAATTCCTTAACGCTGCTTTTGGTCTCCTCTTTATTTTATTTAAATCTCAGAGTTAATTTAGATTTCAAATAAATTAATAAAACGTCCCCGCTGGATAAAGTTTCATCGATTTAAGAATTTAAAAATATGTTTAGTGTACACACACGAACATTATGAACACACAGCCTGAGTGTATTTTCCACGCGCGCTATTCTTAAATCAGAAGTCTGAACTTCCGGTGAGACGCGCTCAATGCAAACCTGTGAGGGTGTTTGCATTTCAACGTGTCCCTCTCATAGACTCTATGTACGTTACCCTCTCTGGTCCCTCTATATCAGATCTGTCCACATGCAGGTCTGACAGGAAGTGATGTCCCCTCACAGCCAATCAGCGGTGTCCCTGGAGATGGCCTACCTGCATCCAGGAGATCAGATGGAGGACATATAGGCGCCTTCTGTTTTTCACCATGAAGGTTCAAGAGGAACAAAAAGTTCTGAATACAGCTCCTCCTTCAGGTGTATGTCTGAGGGGGGGGGGGGGGTGCAGCTCCTCCTTCAGGTGTATGTCTGAGGGGGGGGGGTGCAGCTCCTCCTTCAGGTGTATGTCTGTATGTCTGAGGGGGGGGGGGCAGCTCCTCCTTCAGGTGTATGTCTGTATGTCTGAGGGGGGGGGGCAGCTCCTCCTTCAGGTGTATGTCTGAGGGGGGGGGGGGCAGCTCCTCCTTCAGGTGTATGTCTGTATGTCTGAGGGGGGGGGGGCAGCTCCTCCTTCAGGTGTATGTCTGAGGGGGGGGGCAGCTCCTCCTTCAGGTGTATGTCTGGGGGGGGGACCCTGACTTAACATACAGGCTGTTACTGAAGACAGAAGAGAACCTAAATGTCCTCCTGATCATTCTTCATTCCAGTGCAGTTTAAAAAAGAAAATACTCTGAGTTAGAGAAGCTCTCTTTTCTTCTTTTCTTCTTTTCTTCTTTTCTTCTTTTCTTCTTTTCTTCTTTTCTTCTGCGCATTGACCTCGGACTCCTTAACCCCGGAGTCCTCCTCTAAAGGTAGCTGTCAGTCTGCCCTGTCCGGGTCTCACGGAGCTGTTCATCATGGTTAGACAGGTGTGTGTGTGTGTGTGTGTGTGTGTGTGTGTGTGTGTGTGTGTGTGTGTGTGTGTGTGGATTAATACATATTAATCTTATTGATGCTTCTCTAAAATGACTCTTTAAATTATACAGAATCATTTGTTTCACCATCCAGCCTCACCTCAAATTATTATTTCCACTTTGGTCACAAAAGAGAAAAACATGTTTGTAACGTTTACATTGATTTGAGCAGCAGGAAATAAATGTTCCCTAAAATATGATGTGTGTTTTATTGTGAAATTTAAATAATGATGTGTTTTATTGTGAAATTTAAATAATGATGTGTTTTATTGTGAAATTTAAATAATGATGTGTGTTTTATTTTGTAATTTAAATAATGATGTGTGTTTTATTGTGAAATTTAAATAATGTGTGTTTTATTTTGTAATATAAATAATGATGTGTGTTTTATTGTGAAATTTAAATAATGTGTGTTTTATTTTGTAATATAAATAATGATGTGTGTTTTATTGTGAAATTTAAATAATGATGTGTGTTTTATTTTGGAATTAAAAGTAGCACGTGCATCCTTTAATTCTTAATTGTTGGTTTTGTGACGTCACACTCAACATTCGCTTAATTGAAAAAGTTTGAAATGAAACGGAGTCCCTCAGGGTTCTGCCTGATATATTTTAATGTCTCACACTCATTGAACACATGAACATCTCCATCTGTGTTCCTGCTCATGTCCCCACACACACACACACAACACACACACACACACACACACACACACACACACACACACACACACACAGACACACACACACACACACACACACACACACACACACACACACACACACACACACACACACACACACACACACACACACACACACACACTGATGCGTTTTGTTGTTTTTTTCTACATTGAAATAATAAAACGTATATAAGCTCCAAAGTGCTGAAATCTCTTACCTTTACAAACACAGCAAGAAAAACAGAACACACACACACACACACACACACACACACACACACATCCTGCAGCAGAAAGTCTACTTGCTTTTATCCAATCACTGCAGAGGTAGGAAGGCGCGTGTCCAATAGAAAGTAACACAAGGTGACATTTCAGTCAGGGGTCCGCGCGCGGGGGGGGGGGGGGGGGGTGGGGGGGGGTCTCCGAGAAAAGAGAGGAATACTGAAATGTTCTGAGTCTCTCCTCAGAGGTGAACACACTGACATTTACACCGGAAGTCCAGGCTCCACGCGCACATATATGTTTGATGCTTAAAGAAGTGTCTTCTTAAAGGGGGTCTTAAAGGGGGTCTTAAAGGGGGTCTTAAAGGGGGTCCCTCCGGTCAGAAAGAGTCATTGATCCTCTGGTCTGAGGCAGCTCCTCCTCTTGTCACAATAATAAATCGTTTCATTTCCTGGTAGTGAATAAAACAAATGAATAAATAGAGTTGGGGGGGGGGGGGGTCCTCACTGGTTCCCCGCACACGCAGAAAGAGTCCATGCTGGGAGGCAGTACGCGTACGGGTAATAGTAGGGGGGCTGCAGGGAGAGCAGGGGGGGCCGCAGGATCTCTCCCGGGCCGTACTGTCTCTGGTCGTCCCGAACCAGAACTTTCACCGCCACCTTCTTTGCAGCCGGGGTCGAGGCCATGAGATCTGCAGCCATCTGGCGGCGTTTGGTCTTGTATCTGCGGTTCTGGAACCAGATCTTGACCTGAGTCTCTGTGAGCTTCAGGGAGGCCGCCAGGTCCGCGCGCTCCGGTCCCGACAGGTACCTCTGATGGTTGAAGCGGCGCTCGAGCTCAAAGACCTGCGCGTGAGAGAACGCGGCCCTCGAGCGCTTCTTCCTCTGCTTCGGCTGGTCCGGACTCTTCTGGTCCTGGTCTGGACTCTTCTGGTCCAGGGTGCTAGAGTCTGAGAGATCAAACAGTTTGTTATTATTTGAACACAGCTGGACTCACGTGGTGATGTGCAGCTTCTTTTTTAACAACATCTGGATCTCTGCTGTGACGTAGTCTCTCTGGATCTGTGTAGCTAAAGGTTGATATATCCTTCAAACCTAAATGTGTTAATGCCTTTAAAGAGTTCAATAAAAACATCTGAATTCAAAAGTTCATCTCCTCCAAATATGAAAAGTGTAGTTTATCTTTTATTCTAAATATAAATCTGAGCAGATTAAACTAAAATGAGAGTTAATAATCTCACTCTGACTCAGAGACAACATTAAAGTCTTTTTAATAATTATCAGAATCATTTAGTAACAGAATTCTAACCAACAGAAAACGAAATCATTCTTTTCTAAGACAGAAGCAGACAGAGCCAGCTGCGTGGGAGTTTCTCGTACTGACCCGTGGTGTTAGTGGGTTCACTGTCACTCTTTGTGTTCTCTGCAGCTGCACACTCCTGGTCCGTCTCCTCCTGCAAACTTTCCTCCAGCACGTCCGACGCACGCTCTCCGTTCTTCTCCGACGTGCTCAGTCCCGAGTCCGAGTCGTAGTGCTCCGTGGGCTCAGCTGTGTGAGACCAGTGTTTGTGCTCCGTGGGTTCGGCTCTGTGTTTGTGCTCCGTGGGTTCGGCTCTGTGTTTGTGCTCCGTGGGTTCGGCTCTGTGAGACCAGCACAGGTCCAGGTGAGCCAGGTGTCTGCTGTCCTCCTTCTTGTTCAGGATGGATTGGATCGAGAACGGCATCAGAGAGTTTCCACGAACGGCCATTTTTCACAAGAGACGAGTTTGAGCTAAAAAAAAATAAAAAACCAAAGAAGGAGGAAATCCGTCCAGTGTCGCGTGCTGCTCACATCCCCGCGCGAGAAGAAAACTTTCTGCTTCTCCTCCGCGCGCGTAGCTCTGCCATCACTCTCTCTCTCCTCTCCGGACTAAAGACTAAAGACGAACCCACTCCGGACCTTTTCACCATCCACCCTCACCTGTGACTGACAGCCACTCAGCGCCGCCTCCTATTGGTCCACACATGAGGAAAGGAGTTCACCGATTGGCCACTGTACATGACGTCATGCTGCTTTCACCCGGGTGGGAAAAAAGTTGAAGAAAAGTTTGATGGAAGTTTTTCACAGAGACAAAAGTGAAGAGCAGGTTTCCACTCTGAGACTTGAGTCCTGACTCTGCGTTTTCATTTGGAAACTTTATTTTCTCCAACCAATCAGGAGGGGATTGTCCCGGAGACGCGTGCGTAAAGGTCTGACACCACTAAGTTTTTAATTAAAAAAAATTAAATGTCCCAATTTCCCTGCACGCATTGAATGCATCACAAGGACAATTAATTTGTAGGAATCAACATCCCCCCTCCCCCCCGTGCAGGTCTGGGTGCACGGGGGGTACGGGACGGCTCTCTTCACCCCCCCGTGCAGGTCTGGATGGAGTCCGGTACGGGACGGCTCTCTTCACCCCCCGTGCAGGTCTGGATGGAGTCCGGTACGGGACGGCTCTCTTCACCCCCCGTGCAGGTCTGGATGGAGTCCGGGACGGGACGGCTCTCTTCACCCCCCGTGCAGGTCTGGATGGAGTCCGGTACGGGACGGCTCTCTTCACCCCCGTGCAGGTCTGGATGGAGTCCGGTACGGGACGGCTCTCTTCACCCCCCGTGCAGGTCTGGATGGAGTCCGTACGGGACGGCTCTCTTCACCCCCCCGTGCAGGTCTGGATGGAGTCCGGTACGGGACGGCTCTCTTCACCCCCCCGTGCAGGTCTGGATGGAGTCCGGGACGGACGGCTCTCTTCACCCCCCGTGCAGGTCTGGATGGAGTCCGGGACGGGACGGCTCTGCAGTATTTCATATTGAGCTCAGTCTTTATCTCTTTCACTGAATGTTTCATCTAACGGGAGAATAAGTTGAAAACATTTCAAGAAGAATGAAAGTCTCACATATTTAAAGTGACATTAACTCGTTTTTATAATATTTGAACCCTTCATGTCTTTAAGAGGATTTATTCTCAGACGTGCTGCAGAGTCAAAGGAAATCTCGAAATTGTTTTTTTGAACTTTTAGTTTCTCAGAAATATAAATATTTGATGTGATATTTAAAGAGTATTTGTGTTTTTTAAATCTGATTTTTCAAAAGGTTTGGAGCAGGTTTCATCGAACTAAGTTTCTGTTTCAACAGCACAAAAATAAAGAAATGTGTCTGTGCGCTTTACAAACTCTAACGAAGTTTTTATGGACAAATGAAAAATGTAAATTTCAAAATGAAATTTCAGAGGTGAAGGAACATGTTGCTGCAGACTCCGGATCGTGACCTCTGCCGGGTTTCCTCTCCCCCTCTCCTCCTCTCCTCACCTCCTCTCCTCTGTGCAGAATAATTAGCAAAGGACTAAAGAACGTTTAAAAAATAATAATAATAAAAACCGTAAGAAGATTCAAATCAAAAGACAAAATGTCTGAGAATCATTGAATCATTTTGATGAGCTGCAGGTGAGGAAACTCTTCTTGTGAAGTGACTGAGCAGAGAATAAATGTTCTGTGTTCAGTGAGATGTCAGATACATTCAGTTCAATCTATTCAGTCAGAGAGTGTGAATCACATTTAGAAGTTTACTGAATAATAATGACTTCTGACTTCCGGTGTAAAAAACACGAGGTGCAGGTAAGTTCGTGATTTAGAGTTTAAATAACTATCAGAATAATGTTCTCCTCTTCCTCTCAGACTTTATAAAGTTGTTCACTCTCAGGAGAAGTTTGGATTAAAATCTTTGACTTTGTTGAAACGCGGGAAAAGAAACAGAAACGAGTTTTTAATCTCTTCTGATTTATTTTAAACTTGAATGTTGATTTAAACACAAACTCACTTTCATTCTTTTTATTTGTGAACTTTATTTAAAGAGAGACGAGAATTTAATGATTCTTTAAATCAAACCTTTAAAATCATTTAAATATATGAATTTAAATTCAGTCCACGTTGTGTCCTCTTCACTCTTCAGACTCCAGATATTCATGTTTTTATTTTATAAAAAGAGCGGGAAGTTAAACTGATTTTCAGATATTACTATATTTATGTTTTATTTTGATTCAGAAGCATCGATCAAAGGTCAAAGGTT